CTGCCGGGCAATCGGACGCGGATGCTTTGTATGTGATACCATTGAACAAAGAATCAACACTCGGCACCATGGGAGGGCTCGCTTTGCGGTTTTTCGGTGACCCGCAACTCCCTACAGCAATGACCCAAGCAGCGAAAGGACCCAGCGACCCGCCAAACCTTCCAAACCTTGGAGGTCTTATTCTGGGAGGCCCGACACCCGCCCAGCCCCCGCTCGCTGGCAAGGCGGCATTCCCTTTTCAGCGGCTGCAGACAGGGTAAGTCGGCAAGCGCTGACATCTGGCACGAAGCCAAAACCAATGCTGAGTAAACAGTCAACGTGTGCCTTAGCAAGTTCCTAGCTGTGCTCTTGCTTCATGTTTTCACGCTGAAGATCCGGCGGCAGGCAATGCCTGCAAGTGCTTGTTCTCAAAACCGCAAACACGGCATCCTTGGCTGAGGTGCTGGCAGGCCCTTTCAGCTGCACAACCTTGGCCTTTGCGTGCCCCTTGGCCTTTGCTTGGGCCTGTGGCCGTCCCCTGGCATCGGCAGTCTGCTCGGCAGACTGGACCGTGGTCCAGTGACCCCTGGACCACCACGCTAGAGGCTTGAAAAAAGAGTCACAAACCCCGTTTGCCTCGAATTGGGCGACGATCGCCAGTCTATCTGAAAAGACGGGCAATTCTTCTGCGCGGAAGTCACACGTGTTGTTGAACGCGGCGGCTCCTGCGCGTCGAAATCCTCAATGCATGCACAGAAGATCCAAAACAACTGCGTCGCCCCTGCGCAGCTGCCCGTCTGCGCGGGCACCGACGACGCGTGCGTCGTTGCGGCGCAGCTGCCCGCGTGCGCGGGCACGGCGACGACGCGCGCGCCGTTGCGGCGCAGCTGCCCGCGTGCGCGGGCACGGCGACGACGACTGTGCCGTCGCCGCGTAGCTGGCGCTGCCGCGGCGACGACATGGAATGGTGGGACCCGCCGGAAGACACAACAAGGCCGTCCAGTAGAGTGTGCACGACTTGGGCGTTTACGTAATGAAACAACACTGTAGAACACTCCAGCGCCAGGAAAGCATATCAAAATCAAAAGCGAGGCAAGACTGCGCGCACATCGCGTTCAGTTGGGCGTGGTGGACGCGCAGATTGCCGGCGCGCAAGCGGTGAGAGGCGTATTGAAAGCAAACACGGCTATGCCAAACCAGCAGCAGCAGCATTGGCTCACTGCGCGGTGACCACGTGTGGAATGTCGACATGACATTTCTTGGTGTCTAGCTGCCCCAACAGTGTGACAGTGAATAGCAAGCCTGCGTTTCGCAGACTGCGCACGAAAAAGCTGCGTCGGACGTCGCATTCGCAAGCGCGTCAGCACGTTAACGTTTCTGTTACCATCTGAGCAACGCATGAAGCTCAATTGACGCCAACGCGCAGCGCGCTAGCCAAACGAATCAGCCTCTTGCGTGCATCACGTTGTCAAGAGCTGCGCAAGCCAGACCATAAGAACAGCGCAGTGCGCGTGCTCCACGACGCGCTCCAATGGCTGGGTGAGAATCTCTACAATGAAGACGATATGGCGCTCGTATACAATGACTGCGCCGACAAAGCTGCGACCATGCGCGTTACGAGCGCCATTGAGGCACAAGTGCTGCGGCCTGTGTGCGCCGTGACGTCGCCGAGGGCTGGCCTGCGATCCACACAGGCCACCGGCGCCTGGTGTATACACGCTGCGCCTCTTGCGGGTGCTGTTCTACAAGCACTATTTTAAGAAACGCCATGGAGACGCAGTTTGTGTTGGGACAGCGCTGCTGTTCGGGCTATGATCGCTGCAGGCCACGACTAGGGCGCGACGCCTCGTTGTGTGGATGCCGTGCGTTATAGAACGCTGCACTACGAGCGCTTTTCATACACATTTGCTGCGCGCGCGCGAAGGAACAACTTGTAGCGTGAAGCTCGCCCTGAATTGAGCTATGGGCGGGGGAAGTCAATAGCCCCTCAAAGACCGAAACTGTAGTAAACTGGCAGAAGCATTGGACATCTACGCAACAGTTGCAAGAACGACAGCATAGAACCTATAAAAGCATATGCTCGTGAAGGCCGATGCGAAGGCAGGCTTTACAATTTACAACTTACCAAAGCAGGCATGTGCAATCATGGGCCGACAACGTGTCGGTCAGGGCTTGGCTGACCAGTCGAGGCACAAAAACGCTTTGTCTTGTACAACGAGCTACCACCCAGAAAAGGCGGCCTGATATGAGAAGTGCAAGCTCGCGGACACACAAACATGGGCCAACCGTCAACGAGTCGAGAGCCAAAGTGTAGAGGAAAACAGCTGCTAAACACAGCTCGGAGAATCGAGGCGACTTCAATTTGGCTTTTGGAAAAGAGCAACAAACACTGCCTCTGATTGTCTCAGCCGACTATACTCTCTATGTGCGTCACGGGCGCCGTCCCGACGCAGCGCCTACGAGGCGACTTCAGTTTGGCCTTTGGAAAAGAGCAACACCTCTGATTGTCTCAGCTGACTTTTTCTCTCTATGTGCGGCACGAGCGCCGCCCCGACGCAGCGCCTTTGAGCATGTTGCTCGTGATTTCGTCGAGCTACACGCCACACCTATTTTGCGCGCACGCGCTGTTTTCCCACGCGGCTTTGTGGCTTGCGTGCGCCGATCGCTACAGGTCACCACCGCTTCGTGCTTCGCATCACGAGCGCTATATTCCACGAACGCCATGGAGACGCAGCTGCTGCAGCGTCGTGGCGCCAATGTCTGGGCTAGATCGCTGCAGGTCAGGGCTGTCTGGCGGCGTTCATAGAATAGCGCTCGTCGTGAGCAGAGTCGTTTCTGTTGCGTGTGACACGCTGCGCGTGACGAGCGCGAGTCCACGAAACGCTATTCTCAGACGGGCTGCTGCGGCTTGTGTGCGCGGTGACAGCGCCGACTTTTGGTCTGCGATCGCTACAGGTCACATCACTGCTTCGTGCTTCGCATCACGAGCGCTGCTCTACGAACGCCATGGAGACACGTCGGCGCGCCTCCAGTGGCGCCGATGTCTGGCCTAGATCGCTGCAGGTCAGGACTGTCTTAGGTACAGAAGCTCCGCACTACAAGCGCTATTCTATGAGCGCCCAGCAGGGTCATGTCTGTTGCGTGCGATACGCTGCACTCAGACGCGGCTGCTGCGGCTTGCGTGCGCCGTGACAGCGCCGACTCTTGGTCTACGGTCGCTACAGGTCACAACTGTTTCGTCACACTACTACACTATATACTCTTCAAGGCGCAGATGTCTGGACTCGGATTGATGTCTGAGCTAGGATCGCTACACATCAAGATTGTCTTAGGCGCAGAATCTATGCGCACATGCTGCGCATTACGAGCGCTCGTCCACGAGCGCTACTCAAGTGCGGCTACTGCAGCTTGTGTGCGCCGTGACGGCGGCGACGCTTGGGGCACGATAGATTGCAACTCGTGCGCGAACTCTGCGTGTGCTCGGCTAGCGCCGTGACGGCGCAGTGGTCTTGCCAGTGTCAGCGCATCAGCTCAATGGTTACGCTGTAGATGCCTGGAGCACTCAAATCACCGGGGCGTTCGCGTCGGGGCTGTCAAAGGCAGACGGGCGAGGGGCCATAGAAGCGCGATGCCTCGTAGCAATAAGGGCCCTGGCCACTAGGCTGCAAACCCTACCCTTGAAAACAATCGCTGTGACCACTGAGCATTGGCCCGCACGCCGGCCTGGCTGCCAAACAGAAGGCACAGCTGCCACGGACACATCGGACAAGCACAAGAAAGCGCGCGCCCTGAGCCCAGCAAAGCAGAGATCTCGACGGCTTTCCGACATCTGCTTTCCGACGGCGTTCTCACTCGCGCTGGCATTCTGCAGCTTTCCGACAAGGCTTTCCGCGGCTTCTTTCCAACAGCTTCCCAACGTTTCTGACAGCTTTCCGACACTTCCCACGGCTTTCCAACGCGCGGGCCCTCGCGGGCCCTCGGTTTGCCTAGTTTTGAAGCGTTATAATAGGGCCCCGACAAGTTTCCGACGCCGGACCTTGACGCGCACCGACAATCGGCAAACACACTGTGATTTTGCACCGCTGCAAGCCAAGAATAACGATAGCGGGTAACCATTTGAATTTTGCAAGTAACACGGGACTCCTGTCAAGCAGCTGCGCTGAAGCAGAAAAGATCATTACAGACACCACAGCTGCAACATCCGAAACACAGGTAGCGCGCTGCAAATAAGACCGTAGCGCCTGGCCTTTTCTGCTGTTTTCTGGACATCGGAGTTTTGTTCTGCGCAGGGGTGCGGTTGTCAAAACGGGCCTGTGCACTGCCAGAGCCCCAAACGTCGTCAGCAGGGTATTTAGGCCGGGCCTCTTCAAGGCACATCCCGACCCTTCCAACGCACGTACCAAAAGAGCTACGCGAACACACGCATTTAGCGTTTTCCCGCATCGCGGCCCATAAAAACAGAAAATGAGCTGCAGCCCCAGCGCTTAAACGGTACTGATCCATCCGCTTGGTAGCGTGTGGGCCTGCGCCATGTGTTAGGAGCCTTTGTCCGTGGCCGCAAGAAGCTGCGCAGCGTTGAGTCAGAGCTGACACGGCGGGAACAGGGGTCCGGTCTCGCCAAAAATGAGCCTGGGCAGACGGAGCCTGCGCATAACAAAAACATGGGGGGAAGAGGTGAGTCAATCCTGGCCATGGCAAACAGAATCAAGGTTCGTCCAGCAAAGACATGGCTTACATTTGAACGGTTGCTCAGTGAGCTGGATACACGACAAACGACAAGGAAGTGCTGATGACTGCAACAGCACTACCGCATCTTTTCAACAAGTGTCTGGCCGGCAGGCTCAGTGGCTCATGCGCATTGGTGATGTGTGATGCAATCTTGCCGGCAGGCTCATGCGCATTGGCGCTGCGTGGCTTACGCACACAGCATACACGACATGCAATCTTGTCGGCAGGCTCAATGGCTCAAAGCTGTGGCTACCAGCTGGTTCAAGCACTGGTCTCCTCCTTGTCCTCCACTT